AGATATTCACATAGAAAACAGCTGTTTTACATTCTAATAATATTTCACAATTTTACTGTTTTTTTTCCTGTATTTTGATCAAATAAATGCAGCCTTGATGAGCAGAAGAGACTTCTTTCAAAAACATGGAAATTCTTACGGATCCCAAACTTTTGAATGGCAGTGTATAATATATATATATATATATATTCCTATTTTAGTGGAAACAGAGGCTGGATTCAAACTTAATAAAACTTAAGACAAATGCACAATTTTAAGTCGAAAACATATGGGTACCTTCCCTCCAGGACACACCAGCCACAGTACGGATCTCTCTGAGCGACGCACGACTGGCAGTCCAACTTCAGATGGCAGGCCTGTACAGGCACCTTTGTGATCTTCACGACCACAAAATAATGAAATGATTCAAATAAAGTTGAACTCATTAGAGCTAGGGTGCATCTAAAGGATGCAACGCAAAACCAATCACAATTCAGTAGATTTTAAAAGGTCCAAAAGAGACAATAGTCAAAACCACACAAAGTAGTTTTTTTGAAAAGTAAATACGTTTATACTGAAATGAACTGATCTAAACGAAGCCTGTATGTTACTCAATTGAAGCGGAATTAATTGCAGAAAATCACAGAGAAGACGACAAACAGCAAAGCATGAAGGATTTCAATACATCACCGCCTTGTAAACACTGCAATTACACCACCGTAAGGTCATAAGCTCAGCAAGACGTGCACTATATTAATGCCTTTAAAAAATAATAACGTATATTTCAGCACCAGCAGGAGCCGTAACAACAAAAGCCACTGGAATAGTCGCAATCATGCGTTTCCTGAGGTCGAGGCAGTGATAATCAAAGAGTCTATGATAAACGACTCCAGCCCCGTACCTTTTTCTCGGTGGTGATGTACAAGTGCGCCTGGGTTTTGTCAAAGAAAAGGTTCTTATTTACGTAGCCGCTGGTTTTGTAGCCCGGACCGGGGTTGTATGCCTCTGGATGGCTTGACAAATGTACCTGGGTAAAGAGAGAACAATAGACACAGAGAAACCCGCAATTAAACGTATATTTCAGCACCAGCAGGAGCCGTAACAACAAAAGCCACTGGAATAGTCGCAATCATGCGTTTCCTGAGGTCGAGGCAGTGATAATCAAAGAGTCTATGATAAACGACTCCAGCCCCGTACCTTTTTCTCGGTGGTGATGTACAAGTGCGCCTGGGTTTTGTCAAAGAAAAGGTTCTTATTTACGTAGCCGCTGGTTTTGTAGCCCGGACCGGGGTTGTATGCCTCTGGATGGCTTGACAAATGTACCTGGGTAAAGAGAGAACAATAGACACAGAGAAACCCCCAATTAAACAGTCCAGCACAGGACAGGACACATCTGTCATATTTACAGACCACACAAAACCCCCTCAGCGTGTCCCACGCACCTGAGCCGCACCTGACAACCTGTCAACCCCCAACTAATAGCCTACAAGCCGCATAATGACCATAAAACTGTGGCAGGAAACTCACAAAAACCTCCATCTGGACAGTTTTTATCCATCTATCGCTCAATTTCATCTGTCTATCCAACAAACAATCAGCTCTAACAAAGCCTTTTTATTGGGACGTACGAATTGGAATCACGTGGAGCGAGAGGTTCATTATTTCTAATATATTGTCTAACGTGTTTAGTTGTGTCTCGCTTCAGTGACAGTAATATCTTTTTCTCTTTCATGCCTCTGTCAGAGATTCGCCACGTTCACCCTACAATTCCCTCACCTGCCAAAGCCTAAACTCCAGCTTTGTGACGTGCATGCTAAATCAGGTGTGTGACACCAGGTAGCTAGCTGGTTGTAGCAGTTCACTAATTGGTTGTCTCAAATTTCTGGAGATGCTTGTTTCCTCAACACTCCCTTAACAAGGCCTCTTTTTCGCCGTCCTCCTACGAGCTGTCAATTTTTGGGTTATTTTTACATTGAGGAAAAGTCAGTTAAAGGGTTACTTCATTCAAAAATGAGTATTGTGTCATTTACTTGTCCTCATGTTGTTTCAAACCAGTATGACTTTCTTTTTTGGAGAATGAAAGGAGAAATTTTTAATTCTGTGCTGGTCGTACTTTTCCATGTAATACTAAATAAATGAACTGATGCTTTCAAGCTTCAAAAAGACACTAAGTTGTCATAAAATTATAAATGTAGTATGACTTTTGCTTAAATGTTTAAAGTCCTCTGAAGTCATACCTTTGTGTAAAAAATAAATAAATAAATAAATTTTCACTGATAATTGGTTGAACTCGAGAAGTGAATCAGTTTGATTCATTAATGAATCACTTTGAGTAGTTCTGTGAAGTGAATCAAAGATTCAGTGAAAAGATCTAACTCATTAACATTGCTAATATACTTCCAGGATGAACAAAGGAGAAGATTTCCACTCAATAACGACTTAAATGTTGATCTTTTCTTGGGACTTGGGAATATAGTGCATACTGCAAGTCACATGGACAACTTTTATAACAGTTTTATGATGTTTTTTTTAATAATTTTAAAGCTTGGCAGCAGTTATTCTCATTCAATTTCATTGTATTAAAAAGAATTAAAGTGCCCCTATTACACCATTTCGAATATTGCCTTTCATGCAGTGTGTAATATTTGCATAATGCCCATCTATGTTCTACGTTGGCCGGCCGCGAACAACTTGACCTGCCCTCAAACACTGCAGCTTGTTCATGTGGTTAACATCATGTTGCGAAGACGCTGTGACCTACGCTGTGAAAGTATCTTTCACTTCTGAAAGATGAGGCTGCAAAGAATCAGTGGTTAATATTCACAGCAGTACAACCCCAATCTTTTTTATGTTCCCATCATTTTATTGACGACTTCTTCTCAAATCTTGGGGAGTTCATTGCTGGATTCACAAAACGCTTGCTCTTGAAAGATGAATCAGTACCCAGTTTATCTGGACCAGCTGGATCCACTGAATCACAGCCTGTAAGTATGATAAATAATAGATGTTTACATTTTCTATCGAATGTTCAAAATATGAAACTATGGCAATGGTCGTATCGTTTCCGACACGCGCTATACGCAGTAGACCAATCACAACAGACTGGGCCATCTGACCAATCAGAGCAGAGTAGGCTCACGGAAAGGAGGGGTTTAGAGAGACTGAATCTAATTGTTTGAGATTAAATGAGGTGATATTAAATGTATATTTTGAGAAAACAAAAGCATTTTTTGACCTTGCATGCAAGTAATCCTATTGTAGGAGACTCCAAAACAATATTAGGAATATTAAAAATGGCATAATAGGGGCACTTTTATGCCATTTAACTTTTATGCTCATGTGTTACAGAGAAGAAAAACTCATTCAGATGTGAAACAACATCAGGGTGAGCACATGGTACATGGACTATTCCAATAAACCAGTTGTTTATAGTTCACATTCAAATGTCATTCTGTAGTGTTATTCTTATATAACTATGAATACATTCCCACTTATATTCCCACAAAGTGGCGAAGCACCTCAACGCTATGGGCTATAGCACCTCTGGAAGAGGGTTTGAGCACCGTGTGAATGTAGTTTTTTTAATTTAACACAGCTTATCTCACCTTGATCACCTCTCCGGCATTGTGTCCCAGAAAAGCAACGGTGTGATCATTCTCGACAGCCACGGCCACTGCAGTCAGCAGGTTCTGCCTGATGAAGACCGGATTGGCCTTCAAGGCAAACTCCTGTCGACTGGCCAACGGAGATGGGAGAAAATCGGCTCCGCACTTATACTGGTTCACAATGTCTTTCTGCAAGATAATAAAGAGTTAAGGGAAACAGACACTAAAATAAATATGAAATCAAAATGTACTATTTATACGCTACTCGCCTTGTCTTGTTAATCTTTCAACAAAATATAATAACTTGGTCCAACTCTAATAAATTTTTTCTACAAGTCTACATTTTTCCTTGTATCTTCTTTCACTGCATCACAGAAATTAAATGGGTTACAAAAGAGCACATTTTGTACATCTCTACCCTTCGGGTGCTGTATGTTAAGCACATAGAAATCATTAGTTCTTGCTGCAGTTTTCCCAAAACACGCTATTTTAACCGGGATAATTTCAGGATGCAAGCAGAAATGAAATCACTCAAAAATATAGAGTCTGTTTTCATGAACGTTTCAAAAAAGAAAGCATTTTTTTAAAAATATAATTCAGTTTCAAAGGGCTTGATCAACAGATCAAATCAACTATTATATTTGAATATTAAAATATTATATATATATATATATATATAT